CTAAGTTGACGATTTGATTGTGCGGTGCAAATAAATGATCCATTTTAATAAAAATAAATAAAATAAAATAAAATAAAATAGAAAATAGTCAAAAACCATTGAATGGGTCGATAGTTTGATCGCCTGGTCAGTGGGTCGCTAATCAATTCAACGGTTTTTGGCCAAAGACCAGATTTAGGGTAAAACAAAACCGGTTGTTTGGACAATTTCTGGGCTGAACAGTCCAACCATCCAGGTCAATGGCAGTTCGAAAACATTACTTATGAAGCATGTTAAAGAGGCAAGTCTCATCACCTCACTCTTATGCCATTTAATCATGTTTCAAAGTATCGATATGATATGCCCCATATTAGACATATTGTATCATATCTTTTGAAAAAGATATGGTCCAATATGCCCCATTTCTAAGTTCTGATACGATATGGCCGAAACACATATCATATCGATACTTTGAACCTTGCATTTAATTCTTCACCTCTTGAACTTATCTAATTARACGTTTGGGGACCTGCACCCATCTCATGGTGGCTTTGGTATTATATTTTGTATAGGCTCAGTTTGGAAGAAATACAATGTAAAACCTTGTATTTTATATTATTTTGTATATATTTGCACCATATATATTTGTATTTGTACTCTTTTCCAGACTGCGCCTTATGGACGATTTCAGAAAATATGCTTAGTTATTTCCTCTTCAATGCAAAATAGACGTTCTTTCAATATTTGCTCAATTCARAAGTGTTGTCGAATCTGATTAAAAGCCTACAATCTGATTTGGGAGGAGAGTATTAATAAACTCTCTCCAATTACCTATAAGATTTTGTCATACCTCACACACATGAACAAAACGATGCACAAGCAAGCATCCTCACACTGTGGAGACAGGACTAGCTCTATTATCTCATGTTCATCTCCCTACTAAATTTTGATTCATGCTTTCAAGACAGCAGTGCACATAATTAATTGCATACCACCCAATCTACATACCTCTCCTAAACCAATCCCACGTACTGAACCATCCAAATGCATCTCCTTCAACAATTTGAACACACTTTTCTCGCATCAAACAGCCCACTCAATCCACATACTTATGGTCTACCTGTTGTTACCCCCTCTACTACAAATACCCACCCCATGCAAACCCGTTCCAAAACTGTTATTTGGAAACCAAAAGCTTATACTATCACCAAACACCCATTGGACTCCCCACTTCCTTTTGAACCTCTCTCTTTCACCCAAGCCTCTAAGCATGCTGAGTGGCACAATGCTATGGCAGAGGAGTGCAATGCTTTGATACAAAATGGCACGTGGCAATTGGTAAGTGTTGGGATGGGTTGGGTGTGGATTGAGTATCAATCCATCCATATTGATCATCTGATCCTTTTATATATATATATATATAATGCAAAAATGTAGAAAAGTATAAAATAGAAAAATAGAAATTGCATAAAAACTAAAGAAATTATAAAAAATTTACAGAAAAAACACAAAATTGCAAAAGAATAACAAAAGTATAGGAAATGTCTAAATTGCAAAAAAAAARGACAACAGAAGTTATGAAACATTGCAAATTATAGAAAACACTAAAAATACAAAAAAAAACAAAAAATTACAGGAAAGACAAGAAAACCAAAGGTAAAAAATTGAAAATAAATAACCAAAGGTAAAAAAGCATAGGAAAATTTCAGAAATTGATAGATTTTTTTTTTAATTTGTTTAATACAAGAAAACAAAAGATAAAAACGTAGGAAATTTTTTTATAGAATTTTTTATCATTTTTTTTAAATTGATAGGACTTTTCAAAAATATATAGGAAAATGTAAGAAAGTTAGAGAAAAAATATCTGATTCTTGAGTTCTTGAGTATCCAAAAAGAAATTGAACATGCTTAATCTTGGAATAATCCTACGAACTCCACCCTCTCTTCCTTTTCGATTGATGGGGAAATCCAAATTACAAGCAGTGGATATATGTTTGTGAAACCAGATCTGCCTAGGGATGTAAATGGTATTCGAAAATCCGAATTCGTATTCGAGATTCGATATTCGATTATAAAGATTGTAACTATATAAATTATAATTATAATAAATGATGATTATAATTATATTTATATTAAATAAACATATTATTTTATCATTTTATTAAAGTACACGAATGATGGCTTTTGAAAAACTTTTTTTAATATTATTTTAATAGAAAAAGTTGAATAAGGACAAACTATTTCAGAGGCTATGATGACTTTTCGAATAAGAGGCATGTCTCATTAATTATCTTTCATTTTTTACTATTTTTTTAAATACTTTTTATGCTGGTTTCTTGAATAAGATGCATGTCTCATTAATTATCTCCCACCTGTTAGTATTATTTTACTATTTCTTATGATGATTTCTTGAATAAAAAGCATGCCGCATTAATTATCTCCCACATTTTAAATATTATTTTAATATYGGTGCTTGTCTCATTTATTACCTCCCGCTATTTGCATTTGAATCATTTTAACTTTACTATTCACTTTCTTCTTCTTCTTCGATTCAAGCCTGTGTTTCTTTTCAGTTCTTCTTCAGTTCGTGGCTGCATTTCTTTTCCGCCTTTTATGGCTTGTTACAGTTTTACAAGTTTAAACCTTTTTGATTCTTTATTATTGAATTTCATTCTCTTTCTCTCTCTATTCATTTTGTGGAGCTGAATATGGAGATCAATAATCTCTCCATTGTAGAATACACCAATAGCGATCTCTCTATGCTTGTTGCAGAGCACGCCAACATAGCAATACCAAATCGATGGCTATTATTCAAAAACTTTTTTTATTTGTATTTTCTTTTTGTTTCTCTGAGGTTGGATCAATAGAGAATGAGAAAAAATTTTGAACTGGGTTTCTTCTTATTCGTCCGGTGAAGTTGGGATAGATTGACATTAAAAAATTGTCGAATTCGAATCGAAATCGAATATTCGATTATATAAACGAATTCAAATTCGATTTAGTGTTTTCAAAAACCATCAAATATCGAATCGAATTTGAATGTTTATATTTTTAATCGGCTTCGAATTCAAATCAAGCCTGATTCGATTCGAATTCGCTCCGTTTACACCCCCTAGATCTGCCATCACCCTATCTTCAATAGAGGAAGACGATTAACACAAATCTGGGTTTGAACCAAATCTATTGTGGATCTAATCTTGAACCTGCCATTTATCACTGCAATAGCAAAAAACCTTCCGCCTTTTTGCCATAGTAGAAAGAGCAAAGAGAGATCTAGGTGACAAGCGGGGGTGAATAGAGCGGAAAACCTTCCACCTTTCTGCCATCGGCTACTGAGAACAGCGGGGGTGAAAAGCAAACTTCGAAGTTCAACGACGAAGACCTCCCCTCAACTAGGTGAACAGATACATTCGAGACTCCTAACCCATTTCTCCCTGAGTTTCGCCCCTTCCCTTGACACAACCGACCCAATGGATACCCTCAACCCAACCCCACCCTAAACCTTATGGATCATGCGACCCATAGAAAACCTTACTTCTAGAATGGGGGGGTATGGATGGATTTTTAAGAACATGGATTAGGTGGGCCAAACCCATCKCTTCCACTAAAAAGAAGGCATTGATTACAAGGAAACATTTAGCCTAACGGTGAAACCCACACCCACCATTATTAAATTGGTTCTATCTTTTGCAAAGTGCATAAATTGGACTAATTAGAATCTCAATGTTTCAATTGCCTTTCTCAATGCGACATTGCAAAAGAGGTTGACTCAACCCCAAAGCTTCATTGATCCTGACAAGCCTACTCATGTGTGTTTGCTTAAGAATACAGCGGATCATGATCTACTTATTCAGTCTTCTTCATTCAAACTCACAGGTTACTCCGACTCGGAGTGTGCTGGTGATCCTGAAGACCGCAAAACCATCACAGGTTATGCTATCTTCTTTGGGCCCAACTTGGTGCCTTGGTGTTCTAAGAAGCAAAAGGCAGAGATCACATGGGTTGAATCCCTTCTCCGTTAACTTGTGTTTTTCTCCCCTCTCCACCACTTGGTGTGACAGTCTCTTTGCCACATTTAACGTTTAATCCTATTTTTCACTCTTGAACGAAATATTTAGATATTGATTTCCATTTCGTTCGTAACAAAGTTGCCACTCGCAATCTAATTGTTCGTTATATATCAACAGTGGACCAAACAGCTGACATATTTAACAAAGGGCTCTAAAGAAACGCCTTTTTGTGTCTTAGAGACAAAGTATATATTTGATTCCATTTATGTTTATTGAGTAAGCGTTTATTGATAGTGCCACAAGGCGCTCCATCAGCGAATGCCTCATTAATTGCATTTGTGTGTATTGAAGTTTGTAAAAAACAAACTTTGGTTTCTGTGCATCTCTCCCATTTTGYTGACATGGTGCCTAATGGCGCCTATGTGTCATAAACGCCCTCGTTAATTGCTTTTCTCAGTTTTGCAGTCACACAAGTACAAAACATTTATTCAATAAACATAAATGAAACCAAACACCCTCAAAGTAAACAAGAGCACACTTAGGGCCTGTTTGGTTTGTAATAAAAGTCTGAAATTGAAATCAGAATGGGTCATTCCGAATTTCCTATTCCAACAGTTTGGTTAGGTAGAATCAGAATTCCATTCCCATTCYAATTGATTTTAATTTTCATTCCTGTTTGAACCAAACAAACTGTGGGAATAGTCGATAGACCATTTCGATTTCAATTCCACTAAGAACCAAACGGACCCTTAGTTTGTGGCGTCGTGTTGAGGAAAGAAAATGATACACGTAATCCTTTCTATTAATAATCATGATGTTGGGTTAACAAATCAGCGAGATTTGTGGGATTATGTTGTATTTTAAATTTTAAATTTAAATTCTTTTGTACATTATATATATGCACGTTGATCCATTACAAAAATTCAAGAGAAACAATTATTTCCAAATCCAAGTTCTGTGTGAACTAAGTATTTTTGTTCTGAAGTCGACCTCTCTCTCGCGAGTTTGATTTGGCCTATTCCATTTTCAAGCATCAACACATCATCACGATTGATGATCAAGCAATAACGTGTAGTAGCAAAGAATCATATCATAGCTTAGAGAGAGTGGCGATCACTGCAGCTCAAACACAATTATAGACAAATTCAAGCTTGTCAAACTCCTATCGTTTAACAAATATAAACAAATCAAACAATAATGAGTTGGCCGCGCCATAAAGAATATTGAGCCTTCAAAGCCAAATTGAGTGAAGAATCATGTAAAAGACGTCAAATATCTGTTATTATGAAGAAGAAGAAGAAGAAGAGTTAGTCGCGAATGTGAATATTAAGCCTTCTGAGCCAAATTGAGTGAAGAATCATGTGAAAGACGTCAAATCTCTGTGGCGGTCCGTTCACCACGAAATGCCTCTGCACCTGCTTTACTCTCCTCTGCATTCTTATATACTGAGTCTGCGAAATGCTCGATAGAATTGTCTTGATGTTGGGGATGTCACTGACTGCAATTTGTACTGAAAAGGAGTTCCAATTCAGAACATCACTAAATGGGGGGACGTAATGATCTGATATTAGCACTGGAACACATTCTGCGTAGATGGCCTCAACAATTCTTGGGCTAGCCACTTCATACCCACTTGGGCATAAGCAGTACTTACTCTTCTTCAACATCTCGTTGTACGACATTCCATCTGGGAGCTCATCGTAGACTTGGACATCCTTATCTCTGTCTTTCCACTCTTGTAGAAGAAGTAGTCGTATGTTCCCATGCAAACGTCCGGCAAAGAATGCAAGCAAAGGACGACGAGAGGGGGATAGACCACCCAGAAGCCCTGTGATTTCTCCGGTCCTAAGGTGAATTTCTGGGAACGATGCATCTTTCAAAGGATTGAATCCTTCTGACGTATTTGCATTGCACAAAACCCGTATGGAGTTGTCGAATAACTCACGGACGTAGGCAGATGTGCGTGGTCCCTGTAACCCAACACAATTACGTACACAAGCCTCAGCACTCTGCGATTGCCAATTTGGTAGCTCAACCTAGGCTAGCCCAGTCGCGAAAAGCCATGTTCCTGAGACTCAGCACTAAGGCTGTGTTTGGTTTGAAGGAAAAGACGGGAAAACCTATAAAAGGTTTTTACATGTTTCCCTTTTCTTTCCTTTCCCTATTCCTTCAAACTAAACATAGCCTAAAGAGAAGAGAAGTGTCCAATAAATAAATAAAAGAAAACATTTTAATTTTGATGTTCAATTGGGGTGAATTTTCTTTTTTATTTTTAGACAATTTTCTAGATTTATGCATCCCTTGTTTTGCTATTTTCGTAAAAAAACCCCTTTTTCAACCTAGAATCATAATTTTTAATATTTTTATAAATAAAAAATTAAATATAAAATAATATGTATTATATATAAAATATAATTATATACTATTTATTGATAAAATATATATTTATACAAACATATATATATACACACACTCACACAATGGATCAAACCGGTGACCCATGACTCGAAAACAAAAGTGGGTCGGTTTTTAAAACATTGGGGTGCACGTAGACAAGACACTGATGAGTCCTAGGCCAGGGCTTCAAATTTAAGCCTCTGGTTTCTAGCAGCCTAGACTTGGGCCTAGGCCAGAAAGTTGGGCCTGATCCAAGTTCTTGGGTAACAAAGCCTAGTTGATCAATTTCAATCCAAACCCAAGGCCCACCAACCCTTTATTATATTAAGCATGTCACAGTAGTTACAAGTATGGCGGTGCAAAGAATATTATTATAATTACCCAGTCATGGCAGGAAAGCATGAAATGATCTGCGCCGAGGCTTCTATTCCAGTAGGGATACTTGGCTGAAAGGATGTTTATGTAGTCGACCACCGTCCGCCCAATGGAATCAATCTCATGGGAATCAGGGACATAGAGAAACTGAACCATCATTACAACACTGAAGGGTAGGAAATAAACGTGAGCTTCATCAGGGTCTCTGGTCCGATAATGGTTTCCTGCTTTTTCCATCTCGTTAATGAACCTTCCTTCTGTTGAATATATGCTCCTGCAAGGCCCATTGTGAAACAGTGGTGGATCTCCTTCTTCATAGACAAATATTTTGAATATCTTCTCCATCTCCAAGTAACTCCTGCAAAACAAACATTAACCAATAACAGTTCTATCAGGATATGTTAAACAAGCTAGATTGATGGAATTAATTAATTGAATTAATACCGGTGAAATACAAAAGCGTTTCTATAAATTGGGCCGCGAGGAACATAATCAGGATCGTCGTCATCATGCGTTGATGTTTGGTTCCGACTCTGAGCAGATGCCATTCTTATGGAAGCACGGGCTCTAGCGAGACCTGCTTCCAGCCTCATTAATTTGCTATATCTCTTAACACCAACCTCAGAACCTCTCATCGCCAAGTCCTCTGAAGCTTCATGTTTTTTCTGTATATATCCAGGTTCATACATGTAGTTTTAAGGATTAAAATTCGGAGAAAAACAAAATATCGATCTAGCTAAATTGTGTTTTTGTTTTGAAGAACGAAAGAAAAGAAACTATACAATTAACATTGCATCTTTCTTCTTACTGATGATAGTGGAAGAAGATCCGTTTGTTTTGGGATCACACTCGGCAAAAAACCATTATCGCTGGAAGAATTAGGCAAAGCTTCTTCTCCTGCTAATGACTCATCCCTTTTCGAAGAAGAAGAAGATGGTGATGATGGGAAGACGTGAAAAGCAGAGCTCCAAGTCCACGTAGAAGACAAAGAAAGCCAAAAGGAGGTCTCGGTAGTGAGTGTACAAACAGTAATTCCCGTAAGAAGTGCAACTGAAACAAACAAAAGCCATGAAGAAAATGAAGAAACGAAAGATGAGTTGCTAGAACTACTGCAACTCCTCGTCATGGTATCATCTCTTTCCCGATCTCTGTCGAGTCACGATGTTACAAATACACGAGTAAAAGAGATGGGTTGGAAATGTAGATACATTGCTTCATTGCCAGTTATTCCTTACTCCAAATGAATATATTTCTCTTAAGATATAAGAAAATGCCTTCTTTGGTAGCCAGTTCATATAAAATGTGTATGAAGTATAAAGTATAAAGTTGGTGTGCCTTTTTGTTTAATATGCATTTGTTGCTCCACTTTCATTTCATGTGACAGACAGGCTTTGAAATTCGACTTAGCCATGGGAAATTTCTCAAATTCCTTACTCCAAATCAATCTGCCTTTAATAAGAATTTGACAATTTGTTATCCGGGTAATCCATATTAACGGACCTTTGATGCATTTGCACAAAGCTATTGTCATACATTCTCCATGTACTCTCACTTATAAGTTACAAAATTTTATAAAAAATCCCAAAATATAAACATGAGCTAGGTAGCCGTCTATCACGAAGACAGGATCTCCACTATAGCCCAAGACATCTAATCAGTTATAACAAATAACAGAAATAATAAAACAAATAGAATGGAGAATAAACTCTATGGTGCAGTACAGAAATAAAACACGTTGAAAAAAACTTCAAAGAAAAGAGTAGAAATTGAACTACCATGAAGAAGAAATCTTCATTGAATAATTAAGAGAAAATTCAATATAAAAAACTGTCTTAACCTTCCCCTAGCTATTCTTTCTATAGGCATACATACTTATGGCTCCTACAAAAAAAGTTTCCTAATCTATGAAAACACTCCATAACAGAATCTTACTAAAACTCTTCAAAAAGAAAATCTTAATTAAACAATCCTAATCTAAGAAAATACTCCATAATAGAATCCTACTAAAACTCTTCAAAATGAAACTCCTAATTGAATATAAATTCGAAATCTCGCTATGATGCTAACTTGGTAATTATGAATTAAGATAGAAACTCTACAATGGTACCAACTTGGTAAAAACGAACTAAGTTAGAAATTCTATGATAATGCTATATCGGTAAATATTTACTAAGTTGGGTTGGTGGTGCCATCTCTGCTTCTTATTTGTCTTAGAATGGTCCCAACTTGCATAGAACTTATTAGCTTCCTTCTATACTGCATCATCCTCTCCCTGTATGTACTAAGGTGGGTCTTCGAAAACCAACTCTRTAAATGTTTATTCAGTTTATATAGATTATTTTAACAATTTGTGATAGAGTACAATTGTGAGAATAGATTACATGATAAGTTTAAGAAAGATAAGATAACAAGACAACAAAAAAACTCACTAGGAGTTGTGATAAACAAAGGACTTCTAAGAGAAGTAGGATAAACTTAGAATTCTCTAAGTGTTATCCTAAGCTAGCTCTACTAGTGTTAACATGCCCCCTCAAGCTGAACAGGGTGACATGAAGCTTGGATCGAAGGAGCTCATAACGAGAGGACGACAATGGCTTGGTGAATACATCGACAATTTGGTCACTATAAGGAATATACTGGATCTGAAGTTTCTTCCAGATAGACAAGTCTCTAAGAAAATGATAATCAACCTCAACATGTTTCCTACAAGCATGAAACATAGGCTTAGCAGCCAATTAGGTAGCACTAATGTTGTCGCATTGTTGCACAAGGCAATGGGAGGTGAGACAGGATTGCCCAAATCAACAAGAAGAAACTGGATCTAAAGTACTTCAGTGATAGAATTGGCTAGTGTACAATACTTTGATTCTATACTCAAGTGAGCAATAGTATGTTTGCTTCTTGGAACTCCAAGCAATAAGATTGGGGCCAAGATAAACAAAGAATCCTCTAGTAGACTGTCTATCATCCAGGCAGCTTGCCCAATTAGCAACAGAATAACTGGTTAAACCAATTTCAAGAGAGGCATGAAATTGAATGCCAATTTCAATAGTAGCTCCGAGATATCGAAGTATCCATTTTACTGCACTCCAATGCTTATTTTTCGGACAATGTAAAAATTGGCATACCTTGTTAGCTGCAAAGGAGATGTCATGTCTCGTTAAGGTAACATATTGGAGAGCACTGACGACACTCCAATATTCAGTAGGATCAAAGAGAGGAGTACAAGAGAGATTGGATAGTTTCGGGATTGGAGACTAGTTTGGATCCATCAAGATGAGTGTGGCACGGTAGGTCAACAATATATCTTTGTTAAGATAAAAACAGGCCAATAGAAGTAAACTATGCCTTAATACCCAGAAAGTAATGCATAGTACCCAAATCTTTCAAAGGAAAAACAGTGGACAATGAAGCAAGACAATGATCAGTTGTAGTAGTAGAATTCCTAGTGAGAATAATATCATCAACGTAAATGAGCATGAATAACTTAGTACCATCATTATCATAAGTAAATAGAGAAGTATTGGCTATGGAATTCTAAAAGCCCATCTGATGGAGAGCACCACTAAGGTGAGAACACTAGGCCTAAGGGCTTGTTTTAGGCCATAAAGTGCTTTGCGAAACTTGCAAACATGGTCAGGTTGAGAGGGATCTTCAAGTCCCCTTGGTTGTCATACATAAATATCCTCATCCAATTAACCATGCAAAAATGCATTATTTATGTCCAACTGTCGAACTAGCCATTTATGAGATAGAGAAAGAGCTAGAATGGTAYGAATAGTCACTGGCTTTACAACTAGACTAAATGTATTAAACAAATCCAAGCCTAGAATTTGATGAAAATCTTGAGCCACTAATCGTGCTTTGTAACAATTGAGCGTACTATTAGATTTTTTTWTAAATTTTAAATCCCCACTTAGTACCAACTACATTCATATGGGGTTCATGCCATTGAGAGGATTTTGTGGCCGTTGTTGATTAAGGCATAATATTCCTTTTGCATGGCATCATGACATTGAGAGGATTTGGTGGCCTTAGTATATGGTCAGGGTTCAGTTTCTAGAGAAGTAAAGAAACAACAGCTAAAGGAAGAGGGTACCTTGAAACATGGTTAGAGCGAACTAGTAACGTGCCATCCATGGAATGAGTAACCATAGATTGGGTGCGAGCTGATGGAAGTACATTTAACGCATTATCAAGGATTTCTTGGAGATTACGATACCAAACAAGAGCAGGTTCGGATGTGCCAAAATCAGAGATAGAACTAGAATGATTGGGTTCAACAAACAATGAGGAAACAACATTAGCAATGGAGGAACTATCATTTGTTGGAGGAGAGAGAGTGATAGTAGGTCCGAATTGTAGAAAAAGAGCTCAAATAAAAGTCTCAATGGCGGGGATAGCCAACGAAGATGGAGAAGTCTTACGAACATTTAGAAATAAAGATTTGTCAAATATGATGTGCCATACCACAAATAATTTTCCAGAAGATGGATGAAAGCAATGATACCTTGTGTGAGTGTGACTGCACCCAAAAAATATACATTGCAGTGATCTGAACATAAATTTATGATTGTTGTATGGCTTGAAAAAGGGATAGCAAGCACATCTAAAACACTTCAACAAAGAATAATCTAGAGTATGCTGAAACAATATCTCATAGGGAGAACGACCAATGAGAGTGAAAGTTGGAAGTTTATTGATCAAATAATTGTTGTCTCAATCATGTCTACCCAAAAAGAGGCCAACAAAGAAAGGGTCAATTCTATGATTTGTTTGTACATTTGTTCTATTGTACTGTTCTACTCATGAGTGTGAGGAGGGTAGGTTACTCGATGAGTGATATCCTGTGAATCCAAATATTGTGACAATTTTTGAAATTCTCCTCCCTAATCAGATTAGAAGGATCGGATTTTGGCATTAAAAAAAAAAAACTTATACATGTCTCTTAAATGTTAAGAAAATATCAAACACATCTAATTTTCAAGCCACAGGATAAATCCAAGAAATTTTTGAATAATCACCAAAAAACAAAACATGATAACAATGTCCACTATTGGATTTAATAGGGGTTGGTCCCTACACATTTGAAAAAATTAATTCTAATGGATGCTTGGACTGAAAAGAAGACAACTGTAAAGACACCCTACGACTCTTACCCATTTGATAGGACTCACAAACTGAACTACCAGACCCAACTGAACTAAAAGGAAGACCATATTTGGAAATAACCTGCCTTACGATTCAAAGTGTTGCATGTCCAAACCACAAATGCTAGCCTTGAACTGTTGTTCACTCACCAATTAATGCTTGAGGAGATGAATTTGAAATAGTAGCTAAAGACGGGAAGCAATATAGACCATCTCTACTGGCCCCTTATAATCATTCTCCTCGTATAATCCTTCGCAAAACAACAATCATAATGGAATCCAARATACACATCATTATCTCTAGTAAATCAACTTACTAAAAGCATATTCTTGAAAATATAAGGAACATGGTAGGTATCATTTAAAGCAAATGCATATTGATTGAACTGTAAAGAAGACTTGGTATGAAGAATGTGCAAACTTGCCTATTATTGACTTTAGCTTGATCGTAACCCATATACTCTGACCGGTTCTACAAACTGTCTACATCTGGAGTCGTGTGATGTGTAACGCTTGAGTCCGAGTACCAAGTCAGGTCAAACGATTGACTCCCGTTATGTGGATTTACAAACTGATACTGAGGAGTACTCAAACCTCCATAAAATGTCATTGGATGATTAGTAATAGACTATCATTCTGAAAACCAAAGACATACCTAGCCTTGTGACACTATAGAGCATTGTGTCCACTCTTATTGCATATCTGATAGACTACACCAGGATTTTTGTTTCCACGATCACCACTAGGAAAATGATTAAACAAGAAGGGTCCTCGACCCCTACCCCTATCGTGGCTATTATTGAAGTTGGGAGCAAACTACTAAGAGGGTTTCCCTTGCTATTGAAAGCTTTTATTTTTTGTACAAGCAAAATTAGCATTAACAGACTATCAAAAACGAGATTGCTCCTTAAGCCAATTTTCATGGTTGAAAAGCAATCCAAGAATGTCTTGTATACCAAGGCTATCAATGTCAAGATGATTAGTAATAATAGTAACAACCAATTC